AAAATGGGGGGGTGTTACACATTTTTAAACAAACAGGCCTCATGAGAACTTACTATCATGAGAACTGCAAGGGGTAAATCTGCCCCCATGATCCAATCACCTCCCCCTCAGCCCCTTCTCCAAAACTGAGGATAACAATTCAACATGGGATTTTGGCAGAGATAGAATTCCAAACCATATCAGGATCTCTGAGCTTTCTGCATCTGAATGTTTAAATCTCTTACTAGACTAGGGAAATTTTCACCTATCACTTTGCTAAATAGGTTTTCTATGCCTTTGGGCTGGGCTTCTCTTTGTTTTCTGGAACATCCAATATTAGAATATTTGCTCACTTTATAGTTTTCCATATGTCAGATAGGCTTTGTTTATTCTTTTTTTCTTTTTGACTGAGTTGTTTAAAAAGACCAGTCTTCAACTTCTGAAATTTTTTCTTCTGCTTGATCTGCTGTATTGTTGAAGCTCTCAAATGGACTTTTTATTTCATTTATTGAATTATTCATTTCCAGGATTTCTGTTTGATTCTTCAGTTATGATGTCTGTCTCTTTGGTCATTCTCATTCATATCCTGAATTGTTTTTCAGTTTATTTGTATTGTTTATCTGTGTTCTCTTATATCTCACAGAATGCCTTTAATATCACTATTTTGAATTCTTTTTCTGCTAATTCACACATTTCTTTTTCATTTGAATCTGCTACACAATTCTTGTGTCCCTTTGGAGGTGTGACATTTCCTTGTTTTTTCACGTTTCTTGAGTCCTCGGATGATATCTGCACATCTGACGTAACAATCACTTCTTCCAATTTTGGGGACTGGTTTTTTTATGAGAAGACTTTTTCCTGAAGATATGTCTATGGTGGTGGCTGGGTGGGATACTTTAGCTATTATTCTGGGTGCATGCAGTAGTTTAGTCTGTGTATGATTTCTTTGGCTATGAACAGCATCAGTAGTGTTTGTGATTTCCTCAGCGGTTTGGCTGTGATTGTCAGTGGAGGCTGTGGTGAGGCTTTTCTGGGGTCAGAAATACCAGGTTAGCCAGATCCCAGGTCCCGGTGTTGGCAGCAGTGGGCCAAATGTGCCTGTCCTTAGGCCCCTGAGTAGCATATGCTGGCACTGGTGTTACCATGTCCAGGCAGGCTGATTCTTGGGCCTCCAGACAGCTTGCTTGTGTGCTAGCAGTGGCAGCAGTAGGATGGATGCATGGATGGGTCCTTGGGCCACTGGGCAGTGTGTCTGACATGGATGATGGTAGTAGCAATGGTGAGACAGCCTTTGGGCTCTCAGAAAGCACTTACTAATGTTAGCGGTGGTTGTGACAGGCTGGGCAAGCCAGTCCCCAAGCTCCCAGGTGGCACATGCAAGTGGGCACTGGTGATAGTGGCAGGCTGGGTGGGCCCATCCCTAGGTCCCTGGGAGGAGTGCATAGATGGCCGGCATTGGTGGACTGCATGGGGGGGATCACCAGGCCCCCAGATGGTATGCTTGGGCACTGGGGGTGCAGTGCCAGGCCACACAGTATGCATGGACACAGGCTATGGTGAATAGTGTGGGATAATTTATGATGGTGGGTGTGGAAAGCCTGTACTCAGGGTACATGCAAGTGCATGGTAACCCCTGCCTTATTGATGTGTCCAGCTGGTATTGCACTCCTGCAGCCCTTCTGAGTTGGTGGGGGTTGTGGGATTCAGTAGGGCTGAAGGGATGTGGAGATACAGGATCTGTTGGGACCCAGGGCAGGATGCAGACTTTTAGGGGCTGGGCTCTCAAAATGGTACCATGCTACAGCTGGCTGCTCCGGACTTGGTGGATGTGTGGGACCCAGCGTGGGCTCTTTCTCTGGAGCAATGCCATTATGTAGCATCCTGGCAAATCCCTATGCAAGTCTCAGGGCCTGTGAAGGACAAGAGGCTCTCCCATGGCTAGGGTTTCAGGTCCATGCTGAGTCCATGGTGGAAATGTAGACAACTGGGAATCTCTCATTTACCATTTCCCTGCACTGGGGAGTCTCTGTGAGCTCCCGACTGATTCCAACTGGGCCAGCTGCCTCCCTTCCCTCTCCTTCTGTGCCTCACATATTTCCTGTCACTTCTCTGCTGAATTCCAGTGTCTCTCTTAGATGTCCCATTCAAAATGTTGTTACCTACTTACTTTTTTGGGTTCTTCTTTGTGGAAGAGGCAAGTGTCAGGTGCCTCTACTCAGCCATCTTGAGCCTGCCCACTTTTTATTGATCGATTATTAATGATTGTAACAACCCCCCCCCCAACCTATGAACCATGAACCCACTACCTGACAGAAACTAGAACATCATCAATAATTTACCATGGACTTCTTGGGGCAGCCACTGTTGGGATTGTGTGCCCCTTATTCTGTTACTTTCTAGAAAAAGTCGAGTTGAGTCATATCTCTTTGTATTCCTGAAATGTGTGTTTTCTAACTTAGTGGTTCTGAGTGATATTAAAAGGGCATTATTCTGAGTAATTTTCTGAGACTTATGTCTCCCACTCTGTATAGAGTTGCCAAGGGTCCTCTGCATTTCTCATGGGTGTATTCTGTATCCAGCGTGGCTGCTTCCTGGGATTCTGCTGTTTCTACTTCAGGTTAAATGCTCTCCAGTAGATGGGCAGGCCTGTTGTTCCCAAGAGTCTGCTATTACAGATGGCACTGATAAAAACATTTGCAAACCCATCCCACAATCTGTTTGTTAGTGTTCTGGGGGTAGGACTTCTCGGGGTGGGACTGCTAGGGCAAAGTGCACCCGGATTTTCATCCCAACAAGGTGCGCCACCTCCTGCAGGTGATCCATAAGCCGAGGAGGAGGATGGTGGGAATACTGGGACGGCTGTTTCCAGTAGCAATGGAGTGTGCCAGAACCCGATGTCATGGTCTCAGGTTTTCAACCTGGCAGCCTCAGTCCAGGCTCCAGGCTCCAGGCTCCTTAGTCTATACTGCAGGCAAACAGCTAGCTTCTCTTTAACTGAAAGTACAGGCCTCCAAACCCTCACCCTTGTCCCCTTGTTGCTGAGGGGCAGAGGAGGCTCTGTGTTTGTAGCTTTGTGTTTTAGGGGAGAATGCCCAGTGCTTTATTTTTTTTAAAAAAATTTATTTTTATTTATTTATTTATTTTGAGATGGAGTCCCACTCTGTCACAGGCTGGAGTGTAGTGGTGCAATCTCTCCTTACTGCAAACTCTGCCTCCCAGGTTCAAGTGATTCTCCTGCCTCAGTCTCCCAAGTAACTGGGACTACAGGTGCATGCCACCATATCCAGCTAATTTTTGTATTTTTAGTAGAGACAGGGTTTCACCATGTTAGCCAAGGTCTCAATCTCTTGACCTTGTGATCCACCCACCTTGGCCTCCCAAAGTGCTGGGATTATAGTTTGATATTACATATATGCAATGCTGTTTAATGATGTCTCAGAAGCTCTTTTCATTTTTCTTAATTCTTTTTCTTCCTCTCCTTCATTTTGGATAATTTCTATTGATGTGCCTTCAAGATCATGGACTATTCTTCAATCTCATTCTACTTTTATGTCTATCATGTGGATTTTAAAATATCAGCTATTGTACTTTTTAGTTCTAGCATTCCCATTTAAAAAATAGTTTTGATTTCTCTACTGAGATTCTCTATCTTTGATCCTGTTTGAGTTAATTTTGTATATGGTGTGAGGTAAGGGTTAAAAATAATCTTTTGTGTGTGGATATCCTGTTTTCCCATTGCCATTTGTTAAAAGTCTGTCCTTCCCTCATTGAAAGGTCTTGACAGCCTTGTCAAAAATTATTTGACTGTAGTTGTGAGTTTATTTCTGGGCTCTCTATGCTATTCCATTAGTCTATATATTGGTCTTTATGCCAGTACCACAGCTTCGATTATTGTAGTGTTGTAGTAAGTTTTGAAATCAGAAAGTGTGACTCCTCCAGCTCTGTTCTTTTTTTATGATTGATTTGGCTATTTATGGTCCCTTGAGATGCCACATAAATTTTAGGATGGGTTTTTCTATTTCTGCAATAAACATCCTTGGGATTTTGACAGGAATTGCATTGAATCTGTAGATTGCTTTGGTTAGTATGGACATATTAACAATTTCCAATTCATGAACATGGAATGTGTTTCCATTTATTTATGTTGCCTTCAATTTCTTTCAACAATGTTTTGTAGTTTTTGTTACACAATTATTTTACTTCTTTGGTTAACTCCTATTTTATTCTTTTTAATGTATTGTAAATGGAATTGTTATTGTACTTTCCTTTTGAGATTATGCTTGTTAGTTTATGGAAATAGAACTGATTTTTGTGTTTTGCTTTTGTATCCTGCTACTTTGCTGAATTCATTTATTACTTCTTATAGTTTTTTTGTGGAATATTTAGAGTTTTCTACATATAAAAATCACATCACAGAGTTAACTTTACTTCTTGCTTTCCAATTTGGATGCTTTTTGTTTGTTTCTTTCTTTCTTTTACAAAAATTTGCCTAGTTGTTCTTAGTAAAATTTCCAGTACTACGCTGGCTTTGTTCCCAATATTAGAGAAGAAGCTTTCAATCTCTCACCATTGGGTATGAGGCTTGCTGTGGGTCTTTCATGTATGGCTTGTATTGTGTTAAGGTAGTTTTCTTCTATTCTTAGTTTGTTGATTGTTGTCATCATGAAAGCATCTTGAATTTTGTGAAATGCCTTTTCTATATCAATTGAGATGATCACGTGGCTTTTTCCTTCTTTCTGTTATTATGGTGCCAAGTTCCAAGTGATCTGGTGTTGACATCTGTAGGCTCAGAGATTCTACTGTCCCTGCAGTACGGGGTGCACATGGCTTTCTGCTGAACATGCCCAGAAGTCATTCTGGCCCTTGGAACCTTCTATATTCAGCTCACACATATCCTGCTGTGGCTGTCCACGGGGCACTTCACTGGCCTGACATGCTTCCCTGGGAACACACTTGGACCAACTTGATTTCCTTAGAGCTGTATCTCCATGCATGAGGGCCAGTGGTGTTGTTTCATCTTGGTTCTTAACTAGGAGGATTTCTCAAGACAAAGATCCATGGTCACCACTCACAAGAAGTTCTCTGTGACCCACACCCTTTGTCCCCACTCATCCTATGGACAAGTGATTTCCATGTTCTTTCTCCATCTGCTAACTCTCTCATCCAGCTCTAAGCTCTCAGGACATCCACAGAACAGCTGGAAACACTCTATTCTATCTCACATTGACTATGGAGCCTTCCTGAGCCATGGGAGGAGTGTAAACTTCTGTCTTTTAAGGACCATCATCACACAGAGAGGAAAATCTGGAGATCTGAGTTTTTGGAATCTCACAAAAGTAACTCAGGTAAAAATTTTAAAGAACAAAGAAGAATCCAGATGCAGACAGTAAAACACTCTGGCAGGTTTCCAAGCATACCAAGAGCTCGAAGAAGGTACAATTAGTCATGAAACTAAGGGCCAAACAAAACCCAGAGACACCTACAACAGAAAATTAAGCTCCAGGAGACAGCACTGAGGAAGAAAAACAAGGAAGGCAGGCGTGCTTCTGTGTTGTGGGGATGCCTGGGTCCAGGTATAAAGGCTGCCCAGGGAGGCCATCCCCAGACATCACTGTCTTCTGCCTCGACCTTATCCAGCCACACACCACCATGTGCCATACCAGCTGCTCCTCAGGCTGCCAGCCAACCTGCTGCGTGTCCAGCCCCTGCCAGGCATCCTGCTGCGTGCCTGTGGGCTGCCAGTCCTCCGTGTGTGTGCCCGTGAGCTTCAAGCCAGCTGTGTGCGTGCCTGTGAGCTGCCAGTCTTCCGTGTGTGTGCCTGTGAGCTGCAGGCCCATCGTGTGTGTGGCCCCCTCCTGCCAGTCCTCCCTGTGCGTGCCTGTGAGCTGCAGGCCCGTTGTTTATGCGGCTCTCTCCTGTCAGTCCTCCGGGTGCTGCCAGCCCTCCTGCGCCAGCGTCCTCTGCAGACCCATCTCCTGCGGCATCCCTTCCTGCTGCTGACCATGAATCTCCAGACCCGCTGCTCCCAGTGCAGATGAGGCCACACCTGCACACTCCCCGGATGAGTCCTCAGTTGATCTTCTGCACATGGGGCAGGTGAAAAGCATGCTTAGTGAACCCTGTGAATTCTGGATCGAGACTATGACAGAATGATCTGGAGCCCTTGCTGACCTTGCCCATCCGGGGTCCCAGAGTCATTCTCTGACCCCACGAGAACCAAATAAACCAGCTTTCCCTATGCAGCTCTGCGTTTCTGGTCTTTGTTTTTTATTTCCATACTCCCCGCTGTCTATTCTGCTGATTACATAGAATTTGCTGCTAAACCCTCTTCAGTGGTCCCTTCTCACAGTCCTCATCAGAAGGTGGTGTCCCGGGTGGAGGGTGCAGCTAAAGATGCCCATATGGTCTCGCCCAAGACTCCCAGGGCCCAGGTGCAGTGGCCACAGCAGTGACTTACCCTCCTGTGGTGGAGTGAGTGGTCTTCCCCACTGGCTGTCCACTCCTGCTCCAGGCCAGCAAGCCCTGCACTGATGGCCAAAGCCTCAGAGCACTGAGGATCGGGTTTTCCCATGTGGTTGGTGGACGTCCTGTTCCCAGGTCGCGGAGGATCTTGGGTTTACAGAACTGGATTAGTTCTGCAGCACACACTCCCATCACTGGTCCCCAGAGGCTCAGCTCTTACTGATTGACTGATGACCAATTACTGAGAATCCTAATACAATAAACCCCTATGAATCCACTGCCTGACATAGAAATGAGAACATCATCAATAATTTACCACGAACTTCTTGGGGCAGCCACTGTTGGGATTGTGTGCTCCTTATTCTGTTACTTTCTAGAAAAAATAGAGTTGAATCATATCTCTTTGTATTCCTGAAATGCGTGTTTTCTAATTTAGTAATTTCTGATGATATGAAAAAGGAATTATTCTGAATGTAATCTGGAACTTGCTTTTCCCAGTCTGTGTTGTGCTGGTGGCGTTCTTCCGCATTTCCCCTGTCTGGGCTGCATTCTCCTTCTGGGGGGCTCTGCTGTGGCTGTCTCAGGTTAAACGTTCCCCAGTAGATGGGCCAGCCCTCTTGCCCCAGGAGCCTACTATTCCAGATAGTATAGCCCAGAACTGTCCCCGAAGGGCATTCTCACTACTGGCTGTCTTAGATTCCAAGCTTTTTATTTGCCTTGGAGGCAGATGTTGAGTTTAGAGTTGAAAAACTTGTTTCATCATCTTTTAGGCAAGGTGATCAGGGACCTATTGTGTTGTTTAAATTGGGGGATTTTGGATAAAACTGAGCAAGAAATGGAACCAATCAATCCAGACATATAAATGCTTGCAGCTGAACACATTCAAACCCATGAACACATGCAATGTGTGCACTATACAACATGCACACACTTATGCACACACGTAAGCACTCTGGTCCCCTAGGCTGGGAGTTGGAGGTGAAACTGGAAATCAGAGCATGAGAGGAGGGAGGGCTGGTAACCAAAAAATGCTTCTGGAGGGAAGCATGGATGAGGCCTGGCTCAGCCCCCGCCCTCCAGAGCTGTGGGGCCCTCAGGGCCACTTGGAGCCCACGTTCTGTGCTGCTAGTGCTCCACATGGGGCATGTGTTAGTGAGTCCAGGTTTTTGCGTGGACATATTTGTTTCTCTCTCTTGGGTGAACGTCAGGAGTGGAATAGCTGGGTCATATGCTAAGTGTCTTGTTGCCAACACCGTCCTGTCCTGATAAATGCAGCTTTATAGCAGGTCTTGAAATCAGCTAGTGTGAGTTCTCCAATTTTGTTCTTCTTTTAAGAAGTTGTTTAGGCTACTCTACTCTAGTTTCTTTGTCTTTCCATACAGATATTTGAATAAGCTTATCAATATCTGCAGAATTTGTGTTGAGATTTTGATTGGGAGTGTATTGAAACTATAGATCAGTTTGGGGGAGAGTTGACATATCCAGCCATCCATAACATGGTCCATTTATTTAGGTTTTCTCTGATTTTTCTCATCAATATTTTGTAGTTTTCACTGTATATATTTTATTTCCTCATAATTTACCCCTAAGTATTTTATAATGTTTAATGCTATTATGGTCCTATTTTTAAGTTTCAATTTCTGATTGTTGATTGCTAGTATATTAAAATAAATTGATTTTTGTATATTGGCATTTTTTCTTTGACCTTGTTAAATTCACTTACTAGTTCTTGTAGCTTTATTGTAGAATTTGGGGGATTTTCTAGGTAGACGATAATATAATATGTTAATAGAGACTGTGTTATTTCTTCCTTTCCAGCCTGCATGCTTTTTACTTCACTGTTTGGGAGGTCCAGTATGGTAATAAACAGCAGAGGCAAAAGTGAATGTTCTTGCTTTATTCTTGATTTTAAGGGAAAGCATACAGTCTTTCATCATTAAGTATGATATTAGCTATAGGTTTTTCACAGATGTTCTTTAAAAGAAGTTGCTTTTAATTTCTAGTTTGCTAACAGTTTTTGTTCTGAATGGATGTTGAATTTTATCCAAAGCCGTTTCTGAATCTATTGAGATAATAATATGGTGCTTCCTCTTTAGTCTGTTGATATGGTGAATTATATAAGTTAATTTTTTAACACTGAACCAACCTTGCATTCTTGGGATAAATCCCACATGATCACGACCTTTTATCTCTTTTACGTATTTCTGGTTTGAATTTGCTAGTATTTCGTTGATAATTTTGGCATCTATATCCATAAGAGATATTATTAGTAGTATATAGTTTTCTTGTAATACTTCTGTTCAAATTTGATATCAAGATTATGCTGGCCCTATACATTTAATTGGGAATGATTCCTTTCCTTCTATTTTCTGTAAGAGATCATGTAGAATTGGTTATATTTCTTCTTTAAATGTTTGGTAGAATTTTCCAGGGAAGTCATTTGCCTCTAGTTTTGTTCGTTGAAAGGTTTTAACTGAAAATTCAACTTCTTTAATAGATATGATACTATTCAGGCTACCTACTTCTCTGGAATAAGCTTACATACTTTAAAAAAAAGTGCCAATTTTATGTACATTATTAAATTTAGTGGTACGAAGTTGTTTACGTCGTTCCTCTGTCATGCTTTTAATAACTGTAAGATTTGTAATGATGCCTCTTTTTCACTCCTAATATTGCTATTTTGTGTCTCTTCTTTCTTTTTATTATAATTTTCCTGATCGGTCTGGCTAGATGCTTATTCATTTCATTGTTCTTTTCAAAGAAGCAGCTTTTGGCTTCATTGAAATTTTTTCCGTTTTCTACTTCATTATTTTTTTGCAGATTTTTAATTATTTATTTTGCTAATTTTGAGTTTAATTTGCTTTCTTTAAAGTGCAGACTTAGATAACTGATTTCAGGACTTTCTTCTTTGTGAATATAAGCACTTACTGATATAATTTTATCCCTCTAAACACCATTTTAGCCATGTTCCATATATTTTGACATGTTTTCTTTTAATTTGTATTTAATTCAAAATATTTTCTAATTTCTCTTGTGATTCTTCTTTGAACCATGGGTTATCTAGAAGTGTGTTGGCTAGTTTACAGTTCTGCAGGGTGTTTCTAGTTATCATTTTGTTGTTAATGTCTAATTTAATTTCTTTGTGGTCAGAGAACATACATTGTGTTAGTTCAACTTTTTTTATATGGGTTGAAGTTTATTTTACGGCCAGAATATAGTCTTTTTGGTGAATGTTTCATGTGTTTGAAAAGAATGTGTATCTGTTATTGTTGGGTGGAGTGTTCTATAAATATCCATTAGGTCAAGTTGATTTATGGTATTGTCCAGGCCTTCTGTATCCTTCCTGATTTTCTATCTACTTGTTCTCTTGAAGCTGAAGTCTAGTCACCAATCTGATTTATTTGTTTCTCCTTTACCTTCTGAGTTTTTTTGTTGAGTGTGTTTTGAAAGTTGGCTGTTTGGTGCTTACACATTTAGAGTTGTTATGTTTCCATGGTGAATTGATGCTTTATCATTATGTAATATTCCTTTTTATCCCTGGTAATATTTCTTTTGTGAAGCTGACTTTGTTTGATATTAATATAACCATTCCAATTTTATTTGATTAATGTTTGTGTGGTATATTTTTCCATCTGCTTACTTTTAACCTATCTATGTTTTTATATTTAATGTGAGGTTTCTGGTAGATAGAATATAGTTGAATCCTGAATTATTTAATCTAATTAAAAATCTCTGTTTTTTAGTTTTGGTGTTTAGATGATTTGCATTTAATTTAATTTAATTTTTGATCTACTTAATGTAAAATATCACTTTGCTATTTGTATTCTATTTGTTCCATCTGTTCCTTTTTATCTTCGCCCTCTTTCTATGCCACTTTTTGGATTAGCATTCTTAGTTTTTCCCTTTTATATCTACTTTTTGTATACATCTTGATAGAGTTTGGATTTGTGTCCCCGCCCAAATCTCATGTTGAATTGTAATTTCCATCGTTGGAGGTGGGATCTGGTGGGAGGTGATTGGATCATGGGAGTGGATTTCTCATGAATGGTTTAGCAGCATCCCCTTGGTGCTGTCCTTGAGACAGAGAGTGAGTTCTTGGGAGACCTCGTTGTTTAAAGGCGTGTGGCCCCTCCCCTGTCTTTCTCTCTTGCTCCTGCTCTGGCCACTGATGTGCCTGCTCCCCCTTCACCTTCCACCGTGCCTGTAAGTTTGCTCACAATTCTGCCTCCCCAGAAGCTGAGCAGATGCCAGGATTATGCTTCCTGTGCAGCTTGCAGAACTGTGAGCCAATTAAACCTCCTTCCTTTATAAATTACTCAGTCTCAGGTATTTCCTTATAGCAAGGCGATAATAGCCTAATACGTCTTTTCAAACTTAGTTGGCCTAAGATTTACAATATAAACCTTTACTGTAACAAAGTATACCTCCGGGTAATATGACGCCACCTCATCTGTAAGTGGCAGGACTTGACGGCGGTGTACCTCCATGTCCTCTTTTATATTCCTTGTGTGATTGTTGCCATGTTTTACTTTTACTTATGTTAAAAATCCCACAATGCATTGTCACTATTTTTGCTCTGGACAGTCAATTAGTTATAATGCTTTTTATATTTATCTTCTTTTAAAATAATTTCTAGAGCTCTTCTTTTCTTTCTCTCTCTCTTTTTTTTCCCCTCAAGACAGAGTCTTGCTCTGTCGTCCAGGCTGGAGTACAGTGGTGCAATCTTGGCTCACTGCAACCTCCGCCTCCTGGGTTCAAGCAATTCTCCTGCCTTAGCCTCCCGAGTAGCTGGGATTACAAGAGCATGCCACCATGCCTGGCTAATTTTTGTATTTTTAGTAGAGATGGGGTTTCACCATGTTGGCCAGGCTGGCCTCAAACTCTTGACCTCAGGTGATCCTCCCACCTCGGCCTCCCAAAGTGCTGGGATTACAGACGTGAACCACTGCACCCAGCCAAGAGCTCTTCTTTTCTTTGTGTGAATCCAAGTTTCTATCTGCTGTCATATTCCTTGGCTCGAAGAAATTTTTTAAGAATTTCTTATAGTGCATGTGTGCGGTTAATGAAGTCTTTCAGTTTTTGTTCATCTTTTAGTGTCATGGGGTTGACAGATTTTCTTTCAGTATTTTAAAGATGTACTTTGGGTCGTGTGATTTCTGATTAGAAGTCTGATGTAAACCTTACCTTTGTCCTTATGCTCGTAGTCTGCTTTTAAAATATGGATGCTTTCAAGATTTCCCTTTTTACCTTTGGTTTTTGTCAGTCACAGATTTAATGTGACATGTCTAGTCATTTGTAGTGGGGATATAGTTACTCAATTTGGGGTTCTCTGAACTTTTTGGATATGGGGCTTTATGTATTTCATTATTTTTAGAATATTTCTCAGCTATTACTTCTTTGAATATTTCTTCTGCCCTGCCCTCTCTTTCTTCTCTTTCAGGGACTCCAATTACATTCATAAATTAGGATTTGATATTGTCCCAGAGCTTTTTGATGTTTTTCTCTTGTCTTCCTCCACCCTCCTCTTTCTCTTTGTGTTTTAATTTGGTCAATTTATATTTACATGTCTTCAAATTCTAAGCTTCCACACCTGGTTGTATCAAGTATACTGATGAGCCCACTGAAGAAAGCCATCTTTGATATTGTATTTTGATTTTTACCATATCCACTTGACCCTTTCTTATAGTTTCCATCTGTCTCATGAAATTACCCATCTCTTCATATATGGTTTTAATGCTTTATCCTTGACCCTTTAATCTATTCATTACAGTTAAAGTTACAGCCTGATAGCTGTAAACCTGTGTCATTTTACTTTTTATTTTTAGAGATAGTGTCTTGCTCTTTTACCCAGGCTGGTGCAATCTCAGCTCACTGCAGCCTTGAACTACGAGGCTTAAACAACTCTCCAGCCTCAGCCTCCCAATGTGCTGGGGTTATAGGTGTGAACTGTGCCCAGTTCTTGGGTCACTTTTGAATCCAGTTTTGTTGATTTCTTTGCCGACAATGGCTTGGTTTTTCCCTGCTTTTTTGCATGTCTTATAATTTTTTATTGAATATCAGACATCAACATTTCCTTCTGGAAATGCATGTGTCTCTTTTTCTGTCAGGTCATTCGTGTGTAGGGGGAGGTGGATGAATCAATCTGGTCAGACATTGACGGTGGTTTGTGTTTTGTTGTTACCGTGGTTGCCTTCAGTGCACCAGTGGCTTGCGTTTAGGGTATATCAGTGCTTGCGCTTAAGATGAGGGGTGGGGAGGTCAGTGCATTTGCTCCACCCTCAGTTTTCACACGCCCCTGCATGCCTGACATTCAGAGGAGATCTCTACACACTTCTGCCTTTCCCCAGAGGCAGGCTGATGTTGCTTTTTGAGCTGTGCCTGCTAGGCTGGAGCTGGAGACAGGAGGGCTCTCTGTTGTCCTGGTCCAGTGTCAGTCTTAGGCAGGCCTTTTGCATGTGGGACTTGGAGAATGAGACTTTCTTGAACTTCCTGCTGCCCCTGCCCGGGACAGACAAGCTCTGCGCTGTATTTGTGGTGGTGGTTGTTTGAAAGAGTTTCCTGCCCTCTTTGCCATAGTAATCCTTTGAGGTATTGCATGGGATCTGGGGCCCAGGACTATTTCCCATCCCTCCTTCTGGGTAGAGGATTGTTTTCTTCTACCCTCCCCCTAACACTTTCCATCTGGAAGCTTCTCTCTGGTGGTCTTTATACCCGGGTCCCAGGCATCCGGGTAACATAAAAACACAACAGTTGTCTTCCTCATGGTGGTTTCCACCGTGTTTCCCAACATCTTACTATCCCACAGTGTGAAGCTTGAGGACTGAGTGTGGGGACAGCACCTTTGGGCCACTCCCCCAACCAAGAACCCTCCACTTCAGCTCAGCCATCAGGAAGGCGGCTCTCTGAAGAGGTGCTGCTGCCGTTAAAGTTGGAGGTACCTTCAAGGAAAGAACTTACAAAATACATGAGGATAAAAGAGAGAGACGAGGTGTATAGGGACGGCTGATTTATTTGGCTCACATGGGTTTTAGTTTCCTGCCGGAGTGAGAGAAGGACTCTGGCAGCCAGGACTTCCTTGAGGGGGTTCCCGGGGTCACAGAAGGTCTGAATCATTTTTCCGTGTTCTCACCCCAAAGTTCAGAGGTTTCCTTGAGCATGCTTTTCATCTGCCCCATGTGTACAGTCTGGGGGTCCACCAGATGCTAGTTCATGGAGGGATACAGGTGTGTACCCCTGTGTACCAGGAGCAGCTGGTCAGCAGCAGGAAGGGGCGCTGCAGGAGATGGGTCTGCAGAGGATGGTGGTGCAGGGAGGCTGGCAACACCCAGAAGATTGGCAGGAGGGAGTCACATATATGATAGGCCTGCAGCTCAAAGGCACACACACAGAGGGCTGGCAGGAGGGGGCCACACACACAATGCGCGTGCAGCTCACGGGCACGCACACGGAGGACTGGCAGCTCACGGGCATGTAGCAGGATGCCTGGCAGGGGCTGGGTATGCAGCAGGTTGGCTGGCAGCCTGGGGAGCAGCTGGTTTGGCACATGATGGCGTGTGGCTGGGCTGGTACTGGGGAGGAGGGTGGTGATGTCTGGAAGCCGCTTCTTTGGTGGTCTTTATACCTGGGTCCCGGGCATCTGGGTAACACAAAAACACGACTGTTGTCTTCCTCGTGGTTGCTGCCACTGTGTTTCCCAACATCTTATTTTCCCGCGTGCGCTTTCCCACGTTATGCTCTACCATAAATATCTTTGGCCTCGAGGTTAGTTTCTTCTGTAAACAGGATGTTCTGGTTTGACATTATGCAGGTTTTTTGTCGATTTTTTTCAGGCTACTACTGTGCACATAGCACCACTGGCTCGACTCAAAGTACCAAATCCTGTTTGTTCACTTTTGTTTCATGCTATCAAGGAAGATGTTGAGATAGTAATGTGTTTTGAGCTTTTATTTTGTAGAGTAAAACTTTAAGGCACAGGTTGGCAAACTATGGTCTGGGAGCCAAATTTGGCCCACTGCCTGTTTTTCAAATGAACTTTTATTGGATCACAGCATGCCATTAGTTTATGTGTTGTCTGTGGCTTCTTTTGCACTGCATTGGTACAACTGAGTAGTTATGGAAGAGACTGTAACATGCAAAGTCTAAAATATTTGCCATCTGCCCTTTGCAGAAAGTTAGTCAACCCTGCCATAGAGTAATCTATACAAGAAGTTATTTGTTCATTCAACAAATATATATTGTGTAGTAGCAGCAAAGAGGTCTTGGCTTCAAGAGCCTTCTAGCAGTGGGCAGTGAATAAATGAGTAAAGGAAGAAATGAATGCATGAAATAATTCCATACAGGGCTGAGTGCCGGGGAAAAATGGGTTCAGGAGATAGTAATGGGGGTGCCAGTGGGTGGTCTGGGGGGGCCTCTGTGAGGAGACAGTGTGGCCATGGAGAGAGTGAGGATGCTGCTGCAGAAATCGGTGTGTCCAGGGAAGGCAGGAATCCTGCACTCTGGGTATTGGGCCATGGGTGCAGGAAAACTGGTCAGATCATGAGGACTCAAGAACCAAGCATCAGAATCCCATGCTAGGGGGTCTGGGGTTTGGGGTTAGGAGTTGGATGGAAAAAGAATCAGTGAACCTGAAGACACACCAGTAGAAATTATCCTGTCTCGAAGAGGAGAAAGAATGAAGAAAAATGAAAAGACGTATGAGACAGTACTGAACTGTCTAACATACTAGCAGTTTCAGCCTCGGAAAGAGAAGAGAGTGATGCTGAACCATAAATAAGTTTTGAAAAAAATAATGGCCCAAGGCACCAAATATAATTTAAAAAATAACAACTTACAGACCCAAGAATCTCAGAAACCTGTAGGAGGATCAATACAAAGAAAGCCATATCCAAGCATCAAATAGTAAAAGTGATGAAAACCAAAAATCAAAAAAATATTGAAGACAGTGGGAAGAAAAGGCACTTTTCATACAAGGTACAAGGTTCTTGAAAGGATGAGAAAATCCCTCACTTCTCAGCAAAAACAGTGGAGGCCAGAAGACAATGGAGCAACTTCTTTAAAATTCTGAGGGAAAATTTGCCAACCCAGAATTCTATACCTATGAAAAAAATCCTTCAAAACATGTTGAGGTAAAAACCTGTTCAGAAGAGCAAAAGCTGGGAGAAATCCTCCCCTGCAGATGCACGCTGCAGGCAACGTGCACGGATGTGCTTTAGGTTGACTAGGACGAGGCCAGGTGGACCCTGACCTGCAGGAAGGAGTAGAGGGCATGGGGGAAGGTAAAGAAGCAGGTAAATATCAGAGATGCATCTTTGTTCTTCTGTGATCGACTCGTAAGACAACTAACCTTTAAAATGAGTTACTTGGTGACTAGGTCACATAGGAACATGTGATCACCGTGGCTGCCCCAATTCTCTTGTTTTTAAGTATGATAATGAACTATAGCAGTGAAAGGAGTTGCTTGTGACAGGACTGAACTTGTGGTCTCACCCGGCTTGTCCCTAGGCCTTAAGGTCACTCCCACCACATGGCCACCGATCAGCTCTGGATCCATAGACTTGTAAGTTCTGTCCACAGCTGTGAGACCCCACTTGGTCTTCAGCCTGGGAGGGGATTTCATTAACGTGGTGTCTGAGTTGTCCAAAGGCTCTGTGGCAGGAATCACCTGTATCCACCACCAGCAGGCACAGGAGGACCCACACGGGAGCAGAGGGTACCCCTGGGAGCTGCCTGGGGTGGAGGGAGTAGCTCTGCCCTGAGAGACGGCTCATCCCCCTACCGTGTGACACCACCGTAGAATAAAGCGCTGTGGCCAATCCGTCAAGAGAACAGAGCTGGAGTGTGAGGAGGAACGTGCCACCCACACTCCTGCCCGCTGCTTCCCAAGTGCGGGGTCATCCTGGAATTTCACGCCAGCTCCTCACTCTCCCCCACGCTGCCTCTGCAGAGGTGAGACTGATCAGAGCCTCAGCGTGGGAGAGGAACCAGACAGGAGTAGCTCAGACCCCCTCCGTGATGGGTCCTCCTGGGCTCCGTCTGCAGAGGAGGTGGCCTGTGGCCACTAGTGCTTCTCGTGTGAAGTGGGCTCTTCTGAGGTGTGGTGTCAGGAAGCCCACTGCGGTCACACGCCTGAGCCATGCTCTACAGAGGCCGACGTGGCTGATTTTTTCATCCATCTTCTCCATCCCAGCTGGTTCAGGACTTCAGGATGAGTCATGTATTGAACCCTGAGCCCAGTATAATTTGGCACAGTGGGAACGACCACGGATTCCAGAGTGAAACTAAGCAGTCCAGATCCCTGCGTCTCTGCAGTGTCGCGGACACGCACCCATCATGCAAATGATCTAGGACTTGCATGATCTGTAAAATGGGGTATCGGCCACCCCGAATGCTGGCAAAGATGAATGAGATAACCCCGTAAGATGCCAATCACAGCCTGGCACAGTGCTAGACCTCTGTGCATTATTGTTCCCCCAATAATCATCATTATTATTCCACAATATGGAGCCCAGTAGCTTGGCTCTCGTTACTCGGGAAGACCCTGATGATGACTGAGCTTCTCAGTCAAAACAGGGCCCCTGGTGCAGTGATTGTGACTGTGCTTGTGTGAGTTCCAGACAGTATTTACAACGGGGGGACCCTGAACATCCATGAGGTGGGCCCCTGGCCTCACTGACAGCCCTTCACCAGCTACCCTTGGCTCTGTTTCCAGGAAACACACAGTCTGCTGAATGATAGGGCTCCCCCAGCTGAAAGAGTTTCCTAAGCTAAGTAACCTCAACAGGAAAACACAGAAAGATCAACCGGAGAGGGCAGAGGAGGAAAAACCACCCACGAGCAAGATGCCAGGGGGCTTGTTGCCAGGATGCCGGTGGCCTGGGTATAAAGGCCACCCAAGGAAGCAGGCTCCAGACCAGCCCTGTCCTCTGTGCCCCCACCTGTCCACACCCCATCATGTGCCACACCAGCTGCTCTTCAGGCTGCCCGATGGCCTGCCCTGGCTCCCCATGCTGCGTCCCCAGCACCTGCTACCCACCCCAGGGCTGTGGGACCTCCTGCTGCTGCTCAGCCCCCTGTGTGATTCTGCTGTGCCAGCCCCTGTGTGGGGTGTCCACCTGCTGCCAGCCGGCCTGCTGTGTGCCCAGCCCCTGTCAGGTGGCCTGCTGTGTGTCTGTGAGCTGCAAGCCTGTTTTGTGTGTGGCCTCCTTCTGCCCAACCTCTGGGTGCTGCCAGCCCTCCTGCCCCACCCTGGTCTATAGACCGGTCACCTGCAGCACCCCCACCTGCTGCTGAGTGAGTGGCCTCCTATGACCCTTGTAGGTGTGAGGTCAGAAGCCAGCAGGCTCTCTGAACTCCTGCCAGGCAGTCCCCACATCCTCCCACAGCAGACTTTCGTCACCTGACCAGACCACCTGCCTCCTTTGCAGCATGGTCACTAGATCCTGACCAGTGAGCCCATGCGCCTTTCTACAGTTTCCCCGGGTTCTCAGCCTGGGTCATCCACAGGGCCCTCTGCACTGTCTGACGCTGGGTCTCTTGCAAATATCTCATCAATACCAGACGCTGAGTGCTCACCTGAGTCTGTGTGATGCCTTCTCCTCAGCGTCTTTGCCACACTCCTTCCTCAGGAGGTTTCTTCCCCAGGATTCTGGAAAGTTCCTTCCCTGCAGAGAAGGCGCAGGTACCAGGTGACTGTTAGGCCTGGTGAGGAACCTCCCAACAGCACCCTCTCGGGCTAGAGGGCCGCGCTCCTGAGCTTGGCCTGATGCGAACCCCCAACCCCAGTCACATCAGGCTTCCTTTTGTCCCACTTTGTTCCTTAAATTTATGAGGTCAGTTCTTACTCTCTTCTGGGTGAGATTGAGGACAAATCACTAATTTTGTAGTTTGATCCATTTTAGGTAAAATAGGCCTTCTGCTTATTAGCTGGTATGTGCAACCCACTCTTGTCAAGAAATTAAAATATTAAACTGAATTTAAATCGACAGCTACTCCTTCATCCAACTGGATGGGAAAGAGGTTTGCGGTGTTGATAAACAAAAAATCAAGCTTTTAAGGAATTAAAGTGAGCTTTACTCAGAAGTTTTACCGAGGACTATAGAAGAGTGAGGTTTCTAGCCCCGGGGGCAGCTCTGTCAGAGGCTCGGCTCCCTGTTTCAGCTCACAGTTCATATGCAGGTGGTGGGAGGTCAGCATGTGCAGATCACATCAAACTGGCTCAGAAGCTGCATCGAAGCAGAATCCCATCCAGGTTTGGGGGCAGGAGCACATCTGGTTATGGACCGCGGAGGCGTCAACACTCGCCCTATAAGACATTATCTTGTGTGCAGGAAAAGGCAAGGACTAGCATCGTTTATCTTTTAAAGAATGTGGTGACTCAGGCAAGAGACATCAGGGGCCATGTGCTCTGTCTTGTTTTGTCTCAAAACCATCTCTGGAGAGCTGAGATGTGAGACACTGGGGCTTTGTGAAGTTTTGCTGGCAAGAAAAGCCAGCACACAGGGCTTCTTACATTTGCTACTTGGTCTCACGAGTTCCCACTTTTGGTCATAAATCAACTGCCTGGTTGCATTTATAAGACCAGCGTTTATCATCCCATGTGGCTAGGAAGGTTCTTTCCTAGGAAGATCGATAGTCTACAGTTGTAGTTGTAAGGAATGAGTGCTGGGCCGAGCGTTTATTTTTGCATATTTATTGGAAAACACGCTTCAAATCGCATCTATTTTTAAATTAGCATGATCGGTGTTTTTTTCCTAATGCGATGTTTTCCTGCACCTAACACGACACCTTCATAGGACAATTACAAGGATACTACAATCATTCATAACAGCACATATTTAATTACGTCAAAGTGAGTTACAGGTAGGAAAAAAATATGATAACGATTTAACAAAACCAGAACATACGTTTGTATGTTTTTTCATTAACTGTATTCTTTAATTTTATAAATTTTTGTATCCACACTTATTAGAGTCTTCTCCATGAAAAGAGCTGATCACAAATGTTTTTAGAGAAGAATTCAGAACTATATCTGAATTCCAAGTTCCAAAAACTTGGAATAGCCATGGTGAAAAGTTGATGGAAGTTTCCCACTGACAAGGAAATTTAGCATTTTAAGATAATAATCAGAAACATACTGACAGTGTCACATCAGGACTATCAGACTTTTAAATTTCATATAATCTTTAGAATACTCACATTAATAACATTTCCATACAAACATAACTTTAGAAAAGATTTAACATAATTGAAATTATGACACTTTAGATTTTTTATGAATTTATATAATTTTTGAAACATTTATATCAACAACATTCTCATAAATGTAACTGAAAAAAGATCTAGTATAACTTATTATTTTACAATATTTTCCATACAATTTACCAAATAAGTCCTGGAGAAACCTGTCAAAGATGTAAAAAGTTTTAAAACATTTGATCAAAACAGAATTACAGGTCATTTTAAAATAATAGATATTCATTTAACCACAGTGATAATCAAAAGTCCTCAAAAGCAATATAGAAAGTGACATGGAACAATTCAGATATATCAAGAAAAACCAAGTTACAGAATCAAGTGATACTGCAGGAAAAATGCTGCTTTTCTAAACTTTCAGGATAAATATTTCAGTGTCAGGCCACATAGCAGAGTTAGAATTGCAGGAAAAAGTTATAGGAGCTGATAAAAAGTTGAAGGAGAGAATTATCATCCCAGGTCTTCTCAAGAGAAGAAAAAGCTGAAGGTTAATGACGTATGACCTGAAAATCACATGCAGCAAGGTACAGCAGAAGCTGGATTTCTGAGGCATACATCTAAGAAGTTTTAAAAAGAAACTGATTTCAGAATTAAAAACCAAAACTTCTTGCAATTTTATTAACAGCAAATCAATACTTTAAGAAAACCTTGTTGCTCTAACATAGGGGATCAAAATTTTTAGTTGTATATTAGTATATGTTTTAATGTCAATGCTCAATCTGTAGAAAGACTATTATAAATAATTTCATTTTAACTATAGCCAACCTAATCATATACAAAATTCCTTTCATAAATTATCTTTTCAAGAGCTTTATCGTGACTTACACAGACCAGTTAGAACATGCCTGGATTTTCTGCTTTGTCCTAGTCTTCCTTATTCCTTTTTTTTTTTTTTTTTTTTGAGACGGCGTCTCGCTCTGTGGCCCAGGCTGGAGTGCAGTGGCCGGATCTTGGCTCACTGCAAGCTCCGCCTCCCGGGTTCCCGCCGTTCTCCTGCCTCAGCCTCCCGAGTAGCTGGAACTACAGATGCCGCCACCTCGCACGCTAGTTTTTTGTACTTTTAATTTTTTTATTTTTTATTTATTTATTTTTAAAATTTATTTATTATTATTATACTTTAAGTTGTAGGGTACATGTGCATAACGTGCAGGTTTGTTACATATGTATACTTGTGCCATGTTGGTGTGCTGCACCCATCAACTCGTCATTTACATCAGGTATAACTCCCAATGCAATCCCTCCCCCCTCCCCCCTCCCCCCTCCCCATGATAGGCCCCGGTGTGTGATGTTCCCCTTCCTGAGTCCAAGTTTTGTACTTTTTAGTAGAGACGGGGTTTCACCGTGTTCGCCAGGATGGTCTTGATCTCCTGACCTCGTGATCCGCCTGTCTCGGCCTCCCGAAGTGCTGGGATTACAGGCTTGAGCCACCGCACCCGGCCGTCTTCCTTATTCTTAAATAACCAGTCATTTTACTTAAGGATAAAAATTCACTATATAAGATTTTTTCATACAAAATTATTCTCTTTTCTTGTTAATCTTCCTTACCAAAAACACATCTTCGTATCCATAACTTTCTTCACATTTCTTTCTCCTACTTACTGGTTACTTTCTATCTTGTTTCATGTTTCCTTCCTAAATCCATATTTTGAAACAACTTTTAAATAACCTTTGAATTTGGCAAATTATTCTTTTTCTCAATAAGGAACACCATTTTAATGCCTTTCTTACAATTTTTTCTTATTAAAGCTCATCTTATTTTTGGCAGTTTTTATACATATAATTATATATACTAATTAAAATTTTGAGTTCCTAGTAATCTTAAACTTTATTGAAAACCTAGGAAACAAGAAATTTTAAATTTTCTGTCACATAACAGTATTTAACATATAAGAACAACTTTATCATTTTTAGAAACATGTTTTCTTATAATGTAAATTTTAAAATTGAAAATGACTCAGGCATGTAATGCGTATCTATTATTTAATTTAACATAATTTTTAGATTTCAAATTACACAGTTTATAGATGTTTATCTTGTTTACATTTGCCTAATTTATTTTTAACAATTGTGAAAACTGACATATTAGACAACCTTAGTCATTGTTTCAAATTATTTCCTTGTTAATCATTTTTATATCCTGTGAATATATGGTTTCACCTAAATAAGAAACTTAAATGTTTGGGGATTTTGTTGATAACTCAGAAGATACAGTTGTTTTCATTAAACCAACAATATTAAATTAGTCTTAGTTATAAAACATGACACAAAAGTCATTCTGTTTTTGGCTGGGTTTATAGTCTTCTAAACTTTATGTTAAACTCTGACATCTTAAAATATTTATTAGAGACAAATGTAAAACTGCCTGACGAGTAAATCCAGGGAAAAACGTATGCTGACAATTTTGAAGATATTTTAATTTTTACTTTAGTTACTTTAAAACCATCTTATTTATTAAAGATTTACTTAGGTCATGTGAACTTGGAAAATAGACTTGATAATTTATGAGTGCTCATTTATTGAAAAGTCAATTTGATATCATGTAGACACAACATATAACATAATAATACATGTACATATACATAAACACATCCAAACAAACACACAAATAAAGATCTTATCCCTTTCATTTTAGAATTTTAGTCATGAACTAGTAATACTCATTGGTTTATAAAGAATGGTTGGATCCAAATTATATTTCTGACAAAACTGAGACCTATTTACATGGCTAAACTTTGTTTGCCCAATAGATAATCTAATTAAGTTTGTGGGTCAAAATTTTGGATAAAGCGGTTTCCCTGGCAGTTTGATTTTTTAAACTTCTTTTATTCTTTCCTTCTGTTTCAAACGAGTTTAGGGTTAACTTTTCAATATTTATATTTCAGCTAGAACTGGCTGAATTGTATAAGAAAAAGTCTACAGGCAGCCTTGAATTAGTAATACCATAAGAAGTGAATTTTTTCTCAACACCAGTAGAAAAGTCAACAGATTCAAAGTAGGCAGAAAAAAAAAATAGGTAACTCAGAGGAGTCTACCTGGGGGACCATCAGGGAGTGTTGCCCTGTCTTCCCCCCGAGCATCTGCACAGATTCTGGCCTCAAACTTGGGTGTGTCAGACCCAAGCCATGGTTATCTCCTCTTCAGAGAACTCCGTCCACCTCTGGGGATCTCTGTGGCTTGTCCCTTGGCCTGTAGGAGGTCACAGGCCCCAGGCACTTCCCTCAGAACTCCTTTCCCAGCTTCTAGCCCCATTTCCCTGGACTCTCCACCCTCGTTGGGGGCTGGAGCTGGAGGGTACATTGACATCCGGGGGCTGCTGTGACAGAGCCCCACGCCGGCCACGTGACACGGCAGAAGCTCAGGTCTCACGGTTCTGGAGGACTGAAGTCTGAGGCGAAGGCATTAGTGGGGCTGGTTCCTTCTGCGGTGGTGAAGGAGAGTCTGTCCCAGTCTGGGGGATGACTCTGTCCTGTTTTCTGGGCCTGTTGCCTTCTTTGGCGTCCTTGGCTTGCAGGGGCACCGCCCAGTCTCTGTTCATCGTCACATGGCGTTCTCCCTGTGCCCATTTGTGTGCAATTTTTGCCTTTTTATGAAAACAGAAGTGATGTTGGCTCAGGGTCCCCCCCAGTGACTTCACTTCAACTTGACTACATCTGCAAAGATCCTGTTTCCACATAAGGTCATGTTTACAGTATGAGGGATTAGCATTAGCATCCAACATATACCTTTTCCCTTCCTTCCTTCCTTCCTTCCTTCCTCCCTCCCTCCCTCCCTCCCTCCCTTCCTTCCTTCCTTCCTTCCTTCCTTCCTCTTGCCTGGTCACCCAGGCTGGAATGCAGTGGTGTGACCACAGCTCACTGCAGCCTTGACCTCCCAGGCTCAAGCCGTCTTCCCACCAAAGTAGCTGGGACTATAAGTGCACACCACCATGTTCAGCTAAGTTTTAATTTTTTATTTTTTTGTAGAGATGGGGTCTCCCAGTGTTGCCTGGGCTGCTCTCAAACTCCCGGGCTCAAGTGATCCTCCCTCCTCAGCCTCCCACAGTGCTGGGATGACAGGTATACACCACTGTGTCTGGACCAACATGTCTTTTTTTAAGGGGACAAGGGGACACTATTCAGCCCAGGAAAGGGGTCGGCTCAGAGCCGTGAGAGCAGCCCGGGCTCCTCTGTGTGTCCGTGGGCTGTGGTTCCTTAGGAAGGAAGAGTTCACTGAGAATCCGCGTGGCTGGGTCTCTTCAGGACACAGCCTGAGCCCGCTGCACACACAGCAAGGCCCGGCGCTGGGCCTGAGGGTGGCCCAGCTCCCATCCAGGCATTGAGGCTGTTGCAGAAGGAGGGAGGCCTGCGTGGGGGATGCCTGGGCTAATTCCAGGAATGGGAAGCCTGGCCCCAAAAACCAAGGGCTGCCCTGATAGAGCCAGCTTGGTCCCTGGGGCATGAGTGTGGGTCACACAGGAGAAAGGGTGTGGGCGTGTCCTGGGTGTGAGTGGGATTTGCCTGGAGGGGGTGCTGTCCTCCGTAGAAGGAGGCTGTTGGCACACGTGGGTACCGGGGGAGCCTTTTGGGAACCAAGAAATCAGCTAAGAGGAGCACTGGCCAGTGTACCCCTCCCGCTGAGAGGCCCATATCTAGAAACTTCTGTTACCAGGATGCCCTGTGTTGACAAGCATGTGAGGTCCAAGAGGACTCCTTAGAGGGCCCCCCTCCACAGACCGCTGCTCGTCCCTCCTCCCAGGCCAGCAGCCTCGCACAGGGGCTGTGCTCTCACCCTTACAACTGGGCGAGGGCGTCTGCAGGCTGGAGGGTACCTGATCACACCCTGACGAGCATGCGCTGGCCATGTCCTCGCCTTACAGACACCCTCCCCCTGTCCCCAGGGGCTGTCCGGCTCTGTCCAGCATGGCCATGTCCTCGCCTTACAGACACCTTCCCCCGTCCCCAGGGGCTGTCCGGCTCTGTCCAGCATGGCTATGTCCTCGCCTTACAGACACCCTCCCCCTGTCCCCAGGGGCTGTCCGGCTCTGTCCGGCAGGCGGTGGAGGGGCTTTTGTGGTTTCCTGTGGTTTCACGGGATGCCTTTGAAGGCAGCAACTGCCCCTGACTCAGTGGGTCCTGCATCTCGCTCACAGCCGGGAGGGGCACTCAGAGCTGTCGCTGCGCTGTGAATACCTTCACGCAGGTTCACAAGGGAGGGGGCCCGGCCGCTGCCATCCTACTCTGTCCTCTGCATCTGACACGGCAGCTTGACCGTGTGGGCTCAGACAGCTGCATGGACACACGGCCACCAGCAGACCTGCGTGTCAGCTGCCACACAGAGCACAGGGGCCCAGGTGTCACAAGCTGTGCCCCGCTGGGGCTGTCCCTGGCTTTCCCCTCAGGAGCCGTCGGGAGGCTCAGAGGCTCTCGTGCCCTGGAGGCCATGGCCCTGGGTGCGTCTGCCCGCTGGCTGCACAGCGGCTCAGCCTCAGTAATGTTGGTGCCCGCTGTGCCGACTCCCCTGTACCTTAGACTCCCCTGTACCTTTGGTTAATGGTGAGGTGGAAGTGTCTCCCCGTCTTTTTTAACTCTTTGTGCTCTGAAGGGTCTATGAAGGCCTTTGTCCACTTATGTATGGGTATGACCATATTTTTCTTAATATTTGAATAGCAAGTAATGGACACGGGTGGAATAAACTTGCAAACTGAGAGATCTGTGAGTCATTGAAGGTTTAAATTCAGCTACTTTCTGGTTAAAGGTTCCCTTAGGGTTTTTGTTCTGTCGCCTCTTCCCTGGGCCCTCCCAGCCTCCTGAGGAGGTGCTGACCTGGCTGGTCTCACTGGCGCCCTCGTCACTCTCCAGTGCTAGGGGTCCACTGAGACTATAGCCTTATCCTCTTCCACTGTCCTAAGGGTTCGTAGATAAGGTGTCTTTTTGCTCTGTGTCTCCTCACTCAGGCCTTAAACCCTGAGTAGGATGAGTGATGTCCAAGTGACCCCAGAACCCCTCTTGGGGCCCACGGAATTGCTAGTGCTTCAGAGCACACAGGGTGGCCCTCAGGCTCTTGGGGCAGCCCTCTGTGTGGGCACCTTCTCCACGGCCCACACACCAGGAGGCCAGCATGGTGCCTGGGGCTCTCAGGTCCCAACTGAACAGGGTTTCTTCTTCTGCCTGACTCAGCTTTAGCTTGGACTGGCAGGGGACAGGTGTGGGCAGGTGGCACAAAGCTCACCAGAGGCTGAGCCTGCTCAGCTCTGCTCCCCTCCCTGGCTCAGTTGGAGGCTTGTCCCCTGTGGGCAGAGCGTGGCTTCCCCTGTGGGCAGGGCGTGGCTTCCCCTGTGGGCAGGGCGTGGCTTCGGCTGCAGGAAGAGTGTGGAGATGATCACATCTGCTTTCAAATCCTGCTGTCTCTCTCGGGTGTTTGATCTCGGAATAAGAGACATTGTCCTGTCTGCCTTCAACAGGACAGTGGTCCCACACCCCAAATTTGGAGTAGGCAAAGGGGCTCAGGGGAAGAGCAGAAAGTGCACACCAGCCCGTATTTCCTGACTCAAGAATTTATTGATTAGAGCAATTCTTTGACACATTGGGTGCAAACAGCACATTTGGAGAAGGGGGTTCCAGAAGGCCACAGTCCACCTGCTGAGGGATTTGTGGGTTGTCTCTTCCCAGAGAGGGAGGAGGGAAGTGTGATGTGCTCAAAATCCCCTTCAGGCAGCAACTATGTGGCTACTGATGGAGCTGGTGCATTCTGAGGACTCCAGGGGCTCCTGAGACTGGAGAATCCTGCTTGGCGGCAAAGACAGTCAGTAGATGAGTGAGGACTGAGCACTCAGCAGCTGGACTTCTCGCCTGAGCAGAGGACTCAGCAGGCCGGGCGGGAGCACACAGGGCGGCAGAGGAGGGACACGCAGGAGGCTGGGCGGCAGCAGCTAGGCTGGCAGGAGGAGGCGGGCGCACAGCAGGAGGAGACGGGCACGCAGCAGGCGGACCTGCACACGGGGCGGCAGATGAGGGACACGGAGGAGGAGGGTCTGCAGCAGGAGGTGGTACAGCAAGTTGGTTGGCAGCTAGACTGCTGGCAGCATGAAGTGGAAGCCCCAGAGCACACAGGCAGACAGCAGACGGACTTGCAGCAGACAGGCATGCAGCAGGCCTGCTGGCATGGGGAGGAGGTGCAGCAAGCTGGCTGGCAGCTAGACTGCTGGCAGCATGAAGAGGAATCCTTAGAGCAGGTGGGCACACAGCAGACAGGCTTGCAGCAGATGGGCACACAGCAGGCCTGCTGGCAGGAAGAAGAGGCACAGCAAGCTGGCTGGCAGCTAGATTGTTGGCAGCATGAAGAAGCAGCCCCATAGCAGACGGGCACACAGCAGATGGGTTTGCAGCAGACAGGCTTGCAGCAGATGGGCACACAGCAGGATTGCTGGCAGGGGGAGGAGGTGCAGCAAGCCGGCTGGCAGCTAGACTGCTGGCAGCATGAGGGTGTGCAGGAGCTGGTGCAGCCTGATTGGCAGGGGCTGGGCTCACAGGCCGCCTGGCAGCAGGGGCTGGACACACAGCTCACTGGGGTGCAGACCAGGGTCAGGCAGGAGGCCGGGGTGTAGCAGCTGGGGGCACAACAAGGGGGCTCGCAGCAGCTCTCTGGGCAGTCGTCCACCTGCCAGGAGTCGGTGCAGGTGCTGGAGCAGACGGACATGGTGGACGCGGCCATGCTGGGGTGGGAGGAGGTGAGCTGGGGGAGGTGTGAGGGAGTGAGTGTGGGAGTGAGTGAGTGAGTGAGTGAGCTGCTCAGGGCTGTGGGGCTTTTAAATCCCTCCCTGGCGTGTGTTGTCCTGACAGGAGGCTCCAGAAGCTTCTCTTCCTTGTTGGTGTTTAGAGCTGGTGGCTGGAGATGCGTCATTCGTGCTGGTTTATCTCTTTGTTTTTCCCTCATTAAACTTGTGTGTATGTTGCAGGGCTCTGTTTCTTCATCAGTTTTTATTTTGGCCCCAGAAATGTGGTAGAAAATATTTCAAGAAAGCTTTCGTTCAGTTGAGGTTTTAGAGATGAATGTTTCTCCAAAAGGAGCAATTCTGGTTCCACCTATCCTGTTTCTGGACTGATTAGATATATTTTATTACTTTTAGCATATTAAAACATAAACATGGAGAAAAATGTGCACTTCGTATGAAATAAAAATGGTACTGAGGATAAGAGGAAGCTGGCCAAGCATGGTGACTCATGCCTGTAATCCCAGCACTTTGGGAAGCTGAGGTGAGTGGATCGCAAGGTAGGAGTTTGAGACCAGCCTGGCCAGCATGGTGAAACCCCGTCTCTACTGAAAATACAAAAAATTAGCCAAGCATGGTGGAATGTGCCTGTAGTCCCAGTTACTCAGGAGGCTGAGGCAGGAGAATTGCTTGAACCCAGCAGGTGGAGGTTGCAGTGAGCTGAGATCGCACCATTGCACTCCAGCCTGGGTGACAGAGCCAGACTCTTTCTCAAAAAAAAAAAAAAAAAAAAAAAAAGGAAGCTAAGTGGCCCTCCCTTCAGTCACTCACACCTTGTAAGGAGAATGCTCAGAGATTCAGTATCTGGTGGATCCACACTTTATCTTTGTCTCTTTAGCTCTTCCATGCCATCCTCAGAGTCCTCTCTTTGTTTTATTTGAAGCTGCACTCTGTATTCTTTCAATTTTCATTTTGCCTTGGTGAAAGATCAAGTACTTTTTCATATATGGTGATTTTAGGACACACATTTTAAGATTCCTTGCTTGTCTGAAAATATGTCAACTTTATCCTCACATTTATAATGATAGTTTAGCTGGGTATAAAATTCTGGTTTTAAATTACTTTTCCTCAAAATGGTGAACAAATGTCACCATTTCTTTGTGATGTCCAGTGCTGCTAATGACAGTCTGATGCTGGTCATTTGTCATTTTTTCATTTGTCTCTCTCTTTCCTTAACTCTCTGGGAGCTTTTGGGTTTCTTTTTATTATTCTAAAATGTCACGTTTTTGTTTCTAGGCTTATGCATTATTTTACTTTCTGTGGTTAGACCTTATTGAGCCTTTCAATATAAAGACTCATCTCAGAAGTGTTTTTCCATTTTTAATAATAATTTCATCTTTCCTGGTCTCTCTTTTTATGACTTTTTATTTTCATCTAGTGATGAAAGAAATATGTTACCCATTCACTCTGATGATGTTATTTTGAGTTTTTAAATGTTTTTTCCTTGTTTCATTGGACATCAGATAAAGTCTACCCATTGGTGGCAGTTCATTCAGCTTTCTGAATAAAAGACTATTTTATTCCAGTGCATTAGTGTCCTGCTCCAATTTACTCTCGAACCTGTTTCTGTTTGTCTTTTCTACAAATATATGAAAGACCCTACTGAGCCTCTCTTTATTGTTAAATAATTTTGATTTCTTTTTCTTTAATAACTCGTTAAATATCCTTTCAGTGATTATTAGTACGGATGTGTGAGAACTGTGTGCTTAATCCACTTTCTGGGACTGAAGGACTTGGTGCTGCTTTCATGAGATGATAGGAAAGCCAGAAAGTCTAGGGTGGCATCGTATTAGTGGGTGCACTACAGACACACACAGTGCACATGTGGTCTTTTTATGTCAGCCACAACATGAGGTGCAAGTTTGGAGCCCTGCACTCATTGGAGACATGACTTTTTGGATTATGGAACTTTCCACTGGGGGCCAGCAGGGCAGCTTCTGTGGACAGTCAAATGACCAAACCATTTCTTTTTTTTTTTTTTTTTTTTGAGACAGAGTCTTGCTCTGTCACCCCAGCTGGAGTACAGTGGCGCTATCTCAGCTCACTGCCAGCTCCGCCTCCCGGGTTCAAGCCATTCTCCTGCCTCAGCCTCCCGAGTAGCTGGGACTATAGGCGCCCGCCACCACGCCCGGCTAGTTTTTTGTATTTTTTAGTAGAGATGGGGTTTCACCGTGTTAGCCAGGATGGTCTCGATCTCCTGACCTAGTGATCCGCCCATCTCGGCCTCCCAAAGTGCTGGGATTACAGGCTTGAGCCACCATGCCTGGCTTTTTGCATTTTTAGTAGAGACAGGGTTTCGCCATGTTAGCCAGGATGGTCTCCATCTCCTGACCTCGTGATCACGCCTGGGATTACAGGCGTGAGCCACCACGCCTGGCCCAAACCATTTCTTAAATCAAGCAGACACTCTGGGCGATCTGAGTGAGCTGAGTGGCAGGGATTAAATGGCCCTGGTTGGAGGAGGGAGGTGCCAGGAGGGTATGTGAGTTTGCAGGGCAGGGTGGCCCACAGCTGGGTCTTCTGCAAGTGACACACATTTGGATTCTTCTTTTCTAAAATGTAGTCTTTTGTTTTATTTGACTCCCTTTTGTCGTGGCTGGCTGCCCAGCACAACGCTGGAGACGCGATGACAGCAGCCCGCTGGTCTTGTTTCCAAAGTTAACAGAAGTGCCTCCCTCCGCACTAAGCCAGTGTTTGCTAGTTTGTAGCACAGCCTTGGTCTCGCGCATGCAGTGTTTTCCTACTTTAGTTTATTGTGAATTTTGCCTCGGGCTTTTAAGGAAGGAATGAGTTTGTTCGTGTGTGTGTGTGTGTGTGTGTGTGTGTGTATTAATCTACTGAGAGTTCCAGTGGCTTTTCTGCTTCTATTTTATGAGTATAATGATACCCTTTGTAACTTGAGCTATCTGAGATAAACATTGCTTGATAATGGCTTATTATCCCTTTTTCCCCAGCTTTATTGAGATATCATCGACAAACAAGAATTATATAAATTCAAGGTGTACAGCATGACATCTTGATCACACATTGTGTGATGATTACCAAGGTCAAGCTAATTAATATGTCCATCACCCCACATAGTTACCTTTATTTTGTGATGAGACATTTAAAATGGACTCTTAGAAGATTTCAGTGTTACTATGTTGCATTCTGTGTTACAGTCAACTGTCCTCGTGCTGCACACGAGGTTTCCGGAACCGACTCATCCTGCACAGCTGAAGCTGTATCCTGCCATCAACATGTCCCCACTCCCTGCACCCCCAGCCCCTCGAACCCCCACTCTACTCTCTGCTTTGGTGAACTTGGCTTTTTTAGATTCCACATATAAGTGAGGTCTGCAGTATTTGTCTTTCTGTGGCCTGGGTCACTTCACCTAGCATAGTGTCTGCAGGTTCATCCGTGTTGCCACAGATGACAGGATCTCCCTCCTTTCTGTGGCTGAGTCGTATTCCGTCGTGCATATTCACCACATTTTCTTTATCCACTCATCTGTTGATGGGCACTTAGGTTGCTTCCATATCTTGGCCGTTGTGAATAGTGCTGCAGTTAGCATGGCAGTGCAGGTATCTGAGATCTGGCTTTAATTTGTCTTGTATAAATACACAGAAGTGGGATTGCTCATCACATGGTAGTTCCATTTTTAATTTTTTGAGGAACTTCTGTACTACTTCCCATAATGGCTATACATAATGGCTTAGTTTGTTAATGTAGGCTCATAGAATCTCTTATATTATTTTTTTAAACGACATTGGTCTACAGTCCTATCTTTCTCACTGTTGCTCCTGATTTTGGCATCAGGGTGTCACCAGTCATACTAGAGGAATCCAGAGGACCTCTGGCTTCTTCTGATCTCTGGAATATTTCAAGTATCACAGAAAAGTCTTTATATTGAAGACTAATGGTATACACCTTTGAAACATCTGAGTCTGCCTTCTGAAGAATGACCTTTTTCAATACCACTTCCATATTTTCCTGGATATCATTGTATTAAATTTTTGGTTTTGTTACTCAGTGTGGGTAATTTATATTTTTTAAAACACAGTACATTTCATTTATATTTCCAAATTTTAGGATAAATATACCCATACTATTTTCTTATACTGAAAAAGGAAAATCTGAATCTGTGAGCATACTTCTTTTTCCATCTTTCAGGTCTGCTTATTTTTATTAGACTATTTTATTTAGATTTTCGTTGATGGACGTCTGTGGATTTTTGTGGAAGTTTGGAAAGAGGGGGTCGTGTTTCTTCTTGTTGGGGATTGCTTAGTAAAAGTTTCAGAAAGCATCGTGGGTGGTAAACTATCCAGATCCCTGTTGTTTAAGAACAGCCTTCCCGCTGACACCTGCCACAGCAGAGTCTACGTGCAGAATTTCTTCCCTCCATCTTGGTAGAGGCTGGGCTAGCAATGGGTCTCATATTTGCATAACTTTGATCTTCTTGTGAAGCCTTTCCTTTGTCTAGAACCTGGCACTATTGTCTCCTTCTTGTACTTCATTCATTTCACCAGACCCCTCCCCCAACACTGTCATCAGCTGTGTTCATCCCCTCGGTCCCATCTTCCTTTAGTTCAAGGAACTTTTATTTCCATATGGGTTTGATGATTTTCTTCCATTCTTGGATTTTCTCCCCACTGTGATCCTGGTGAGGATCACAGACCCTGGGTCTCCTGGGTTCTTCCCACTCAGATCTCAGGCTCTTCTTGGCTTTATCTCTGTCCTTCTGCATTGGGTTTGGGTCAATCCTTGCCTGAAATGGGGTCACTGTATCAGCAATTCTGCTTTCAGGGTCTATTATGCAGACCATCATTGAGTTTCATGTGTGTTTAGAGTGTCGCACTTTCAGTCTCCTGGAACTTGGGGTGTTTTCCTTCTTCCTCTTCCTCCTCCTTTTTGGTAGCGCCCTGTTCTTGTTTCATGTAGCGACAGCCTCTTTGTTTCCTTGCATCTGCATCATCGTTTGTTCCGACTTTGCTTCTCTGTCATACTGTGATTTCCTCACATGTCTGAGGACTCTTAGTTGTTGTTCACATTTTTAAGTGAGGGTCGAGATTGTTTGGCATTCATTGCTGAAAGGTTTTCTGCACATAGATACACATATTCTGCACCCAGAGCTGATGCTGGGGCTCTGATGAGGGGGGCCTTGTTCATCGCTGATTGGACATGGGGGCTCCAGTTTATCTTGGCATCCAGAGCTTCCTGGGGTGTGGCCTCTTCCTCTCCAGCTTGGGACCTAGGCTGGGAGTCTCCTGGGCCAGCCCCACCCTTCCTGGTTCTCCTGCTGGTTGCAGGGCAAGGAATGGCTCTTCTTCAGAACTCGACCTCTCAGTTAAAGACGACTGAGTGCCCACAGTCATCCTCATATATGGTCCCTTTGCTAGGGTCTCCGGGAAAACTCATTTGTCTTCAGAGTCCTTCTCCTGCCTTTCTTTCTGTTAGATTTAAAGTCAATAGAACCTGATCTTTTTGTCTTGCCTTTCCCAGAAAATCTTTACTGACCTGGTCTGTGGATGGCATGCCTCCGTTTTCTATCACTGCTCTGGCACCATTCATTTTTATTTGGATGAACAGGAGGTGGAGGCATTGGCCAGTGGCCATCCCAAACGGAGGGCTGAGGCTATTTGTTTTTAACACATTGACCGAGAGAAAATTCACAAGCCATGGAGTTCACCCACTGCAGGTGCACGGTCCATTGGTTTTTAGTAAATTCCCAGGGTTTTTCAGCCATCACCAATATGTAATTTTATAACATTCCCACTCCAAAAACCACACCCATAAGCAGTCTCCTCTCATGAGCCCCTCCCCCAGCCTTGGTCACCCACTTATCTACTTTCTTTCTCTGTGGATTTGCCTGTTCTGAGTCTTTCATACAAATAGAATCCCACTACATGTGGCCTCTCGCTGAGCATCATGCTTTCAAGGCTCATGCATGTTGTAGCCTGTGTCAGTATTTGATCCGTTTTCATGGCTGAATAATATTCCGCATGGGAATGGGCTGCGTTTTGCTTGTGTGGATAGGCTGTGTTTTGGTTGTCCATTCATCCTCTGATGGACATCTGGGCTCTTTCCACTTCTTGGCTACTGTCAGTGGTGCTGTGTACATGGGCACACAAATCTGTGTGTGAATGTTTGTTTCATTCCTCTGAGGTAGATGCCTAGAACTAGACTGACAGGGTCACAGGGTCACACAGTGAGTGACATTTTGAGGATCTGTTTTCCAAGGTGCTTTCACTAGGGGTTGAAGCTCTGATGAGGCAGGAGAACATCGAATGGAGACCCAGAGCAGGGGTCAGAGCTGAGACCCCCCACAGCTCTGGTCACCAGGAGGTGTCCTCCCTGGGGATGGCCAGACAGGCTGGGTCCTTTTGGTGCCTCAGACAAGGGCAGGTGGGGGACAATGACAAATGTGGAGGAGGTCAGAGAGCCAGCCCTGGGCCCTCCTCCTGGCTCTCTGTTCTCACCTGAGGCCATCAGTGGGCACAGTGAGGTGGGGCTCAGACACGTATGTATGGGGAGCTCCTCCCCAGGATGGCCCTGGAGCCCTAGGATGAAGTCTTGGCCCCGCCAGCTACCTGGAGAACCAGGGCGGGAAGCAAACATCTCTGTCCCTGGAGGCCCTCATCTGTCCCTTCATGGGGACCTGGCTTTGCTTCCAAGGAGATGGACGAGGCTGTGTCAGTTTGGCCTCCGGCCCGGGGAACGGCTGCTGCTGGGTGGTCTGTCCTGGGTGGTCTGCCTCGAGGGGAGTGAGGGAGGTGGCTGTGCTGACCACGGTGAACTCTGTCAGGTGGGACTCCGGGAGGTCCCGGTGCTGGGGCTGGAGGCCTCTGGCATTGACATGCAAGGGTCATTTGCTGGAGCCGGACCTGGTCTCTCGAATGCACACAGCGACCCGGTGGAAAGAGTGTGGCGGCTCATACCACTCGCCCAACGTGGCATCTGGGACGGAGGGTGGCAGGCAGAGCTGAGGGCTATTTGGGAGAGAGCTGGGAGGTTGGGGATGTGGGGACAGGGTCTTCGGGGTCAGAGTCCAGGACCACAGGATCAGGAGGGAGCCAGGACCCTGAATCTCTAGGCGAGGCTGCATGGGGCAGGGGGGCCACAGGCTTGGTTAGTGGGTGCCATGGTCCCTGCCCATCTGTGCTCTCGCCAGCGATGCCTGAGCAATGGGTATTCAAGAACCCCATGAAGAACCCCAGGCTTCTGGGCTCAAGTCCTGGGGGAGGGGCTGTCCCACGTCTTACTGTGGAGGAGACGAGGGCTGCAGGGATGGGCACTGTGGTCCATAGCTGGTCTCCCCAGGGGTAACAGGACCGTGAGGCTGCTGGGTGGAGCCAGGCCCCGGTGGGCTACCCCAGTCCTGGGGGCAGCCATGGAGCTGGGGAGGGTGAATGTGGCTCAGGGGCCCAGAGCTGCTGCCAGGGTCCACTTTGTCCCAAAACTCCTGGCCTTGGTTCCAGAGGCAGCTTCCCTAAGATGGGCTGGGGCGTCACGTGCTGGGGCTGGGGGCCCACGGGGCTAAGAGGGAGCCTGGCCTTCAGGGTTCACAGAGGCCAGCACCAGGCGCATTGCTTCCTGCCTCATCCCACGCCCCTCGGGGTCCACAGACAGGATCGAAGGTCGACAGAGACAGGGGCAGCTTTCCTAGGACTCAGAGGGGCGCTGCCCAGGGTGGAACCAGGCCTGCTGGGGGTCAGGACTGTCCCTGCAGTCAGGGGTGGCATCACTTCCCACCTCACCCTGTGCCCCCCGGGGGTCCACAGACAGGACAGAGGTTGGTGTGAGACAGAGGCGGCTTTATTAGAACTCAGAGGGGCACTGCCCAGGGTGGAACCAGGCCTGCTGGGGTCAGTTCTGCAGAACTTGGGTCTGGGGGAGCAGCTGGGGTCCCTCGTGCAGCCAGCATCTGGGAAGGACTGGGGGAGCATCTTGGTCCCTGAGACAAAGAGCCTGCCCCATATTCTCAGGGTGTCAATGCCAGAGAGGGAGGAGCTGGCTGGACCCCTGGGAGGTCAGCCCCAGGTGGGAAGGGACTCTGGATGACATTCAGCGCCGTCAGCAGCTGGACTTCTGGCCAGAGCAGAGGCTGTAGCAGGCCGGGCGGGAGCACGTGGGGCGGCAGAGGAGGGACACGCAGGAGGCCGGGTAGCAGCAGCTGGTCTGGCAGGAGGAGGCAGGGGCACAGCAGGAGGAGACGGGCACGCAGCAGGCAGACCTGCACACGGGGCGGCAGAGGAGGGACATGGAGGAGGAGGGTCTGCAGCAGGAGGTGGTGCAGCAAGCTGGCTGGCAGCTAGACTGCTGGCAGCATGAAGTGGAAGCCCCACAGCAGACGGGCGCACAGCAGAGGGACTTGCAGCAGACAGGTTTGGAGCAGATGGGCACACAGGAGGACTGCTGACACGGGGAGGAGGTGCAGCAAGCCAGCTGGCAGCTAGACTGCTGGCAGCATGAGGAGGAATCCTCAGAGCAGGTGGGCACGCAGCAGACGGGCTTGCAGCAGACAGGCACACAGCAGGCCTGCTGGCAGGGGGAGGAGGTGCAGCAAGCCGGCTGGCAGCTAGACTGCTGGCAGCATGAAGAGGAAGGCTCAGAGCAGGTAGGCACGAAGCACACAGGCTTGTAGCAGACGGGTACGCAGGAGACCTGCTGGCAGGGGGAGGAGGTGCAGCAAGCCGGCTGGCAGCTAGACTGCTGGCAGCATGAGGGTGTGCAGGAGCTGGTGCACCCTGATTGGCAGGGGCTGGGCTCACAGGCCGCCTGGCAGCAGGGGCTGGACACACAGCTCACTGGGGTGCAGACCAGGGTCAGGCAGGAGGCAGGGGCGCAGCAGCTGGGGGCGCAGCAGCTGGGGGCGCAGCAGGGGAGCTCGCAGCAGCTCTCTGGGCAGTCGTCCACCTGCCAGGAGTCGGTGCAGGCGCTGGAGCAGACGGACATGGTGGACGCGGCCATGCTGGGGTGGGGAGGAGGTGAGCTGGGGGAGGTGTGAGTGAGTGTGTGAGTGAGTGTGTGTCTGAGCCTGTCAGCTGCTGGGGCTTTTATATGCCCAGGACCTGTGTTTTCCTAGCAGGAGACTCAGCAACGCCCTCCCCTTCCGTGTTGGTGTTTGGAGCCGGGAGGACCCTCGTTATTTCTGCTTCCCTTGCCATGACTTGTCCTCACTCTGCTCCTAACACTCGGCTGGTCCTGGGCAGGGCCTGCACCCCTGGCTGAGCCTGTCCCCGGGAACACCAGGAGGGAGGGTGTGGCCTCTCTGGGGCTGACCTGGTGACTTCCACCTGGCAGGTCTCGTGACTGTGCCTGGCGTGGGGCCAGGAGGATGCCCAGCCTCTGTCTGCAGGGACTTCATGGGGTGGGCTGGTGTGGCTGCGACTGGGAGAGCCAGGACGAAGTGCCTGTGTTGGGAAAATGTGCTTGAGGACAGTGCTTCCTGGTGGGCTCTGGGATTTTCTGAGATCCTGATGTCTGCCAAGGGTAGGAGGAGAGGGAGGACCTCTCCTCCCCTGAGAAGGAAACAGAACATTCCAGCAAGGCCTCTGGATAGTCAAGTCATTAGGAGGACAAGGCTTAGGGACTGGCCTTTGGGTCTGGACTGCTGTCCCCTGGAGCCCTGGTCAGGTGTCCTGAGAGGGGCGGGTGCAGGTCAGGGCCTGAGGTTGGGGAGGCGCCTCCACCTTGGAGAGGCAGGTGTGGAGTGAGGGTTGTGTGGTGAGTGGAGGACATCGGGGTTGGCAAAGCTGTCCTATGCTCAGGAGGTCATCGGGCAGGGCTGGCCCTGACCCTGGGGCAGAGACCATCACAGGCAAGCTCCTCTGTCCCAGGGCCTGAGCCCAGCACAGCCTGAGGCTGGTTCTGACCAGGAACTACCAACATCTCCCAATGTCCTTCCAGCCTCTTCTGGATGAGAAAAGAGTCCAATGGGGACACAGTCAGCCACACTGCCCAGACGCCTGGGAGCTTTACTGAAGACAAGAGCCTTACTCTGTGTTTGCACCTTGGCCGAAGCCACATGCCAAGAAATTGAAACGTGGTGCGAATTTGTGGTATCTGTAGGTGACATGATTGTACACCTAGGATCAGAGTGACTGTCCCAGGCCACGCTCACCGAAGGGCTAGATGAGAGACAAAGTCACTGCACCCAGCAGCCCCTACCTGTACCCCTGCCATGACAGTGTGAAAATACAATGGGAAAGGAAGCCCATCAGCCTGGCAGACCCAAGTATAAAATGCCCAGTGGGAATGTTAGAGGGTCAGATGTGAACGAAAGCATAAACCTTGACCAGAGCACCTACAACGTATGTCCCCTGGAAGCCCGGCATGGTTGGGCACTGGAGACTGGTCCACGTGCCTCAGCTTAGCTCAGCATCCATGACATTCCCATCACAGCCCCGAAGGAATCGTTGGGTATACAAATGAAGATATGAACAGCCAGAAAGTACTTGCAATCTCCATGACAGATGGAAGATTAATGTGAAAATTTTAAAGTCCTTACCACTAAAACAGGATAAGATACAAAAGAATTGAATACAAGATTAAAAATTTTAAATTTCCAATAAGCCTTAATGAGATGAACAGCTAGTTGATCTCATTAATAACTAAAGTTCCTCAGATTTAAACACACACCTCCCACCTGTAAGAGCAAACAAGATTTAAAATGCTGATAGTATCCAGTACTGCGGCGCTCAGGGCTTCATTCTTAGAAACCCTTGGCAGGTGTAATTTTATTTAAACTGTGATCAACCATAACATAAAATTTACCATTTTACCCATTTTAAAGTGTGCGATTCAGTGACATTTAGTGCAGCCACAATGTTGTGCAACCATCCCCACTACCTAGTTCCAGAACTATCTTCGCTCCAGAAGGAAACCCGTAGTATTAAGCAGCCACACCCAGCCCCTGGCAACCACTGCTATTCTACTTGTCTCTATATGGATTTACCTGTTTTGCACATTTCATATAGATGGAGTCATAGAATATGTGCTCTCTGTGTCTAGCTTCGTTCACTGAGCATGTTTTCAAGGTACACCTGTGTTGGGGTATGTTTCAGAATGCCATTCCTTTTTATGGCTGAATCGTATTCCATCATAATGACACCACATTTCATTTATCCGTTCATCTGCTGATGGACTTTTGGGTTCTTTTCAACTTTTGGCTACTGTGAATAGTGCTTCTATAAACATTCTTTTTTTTTTTTTTTTTTTTTTTTGAGACAGAGTCTCCCTCTGTCACCCAGGCTGGAGTGCAGTGGCACCATCTCAGCTCACTGCCACCTCCACCTCCTGGGTTCAAGCGATTCTCCTGCCTCAGCCTCCCAAGTAGCTGGGATTACAGGTGTGTACCACCATACCTGGCTAATTTTTTATATTTTTGGTAGAGGTGGGGTTTCACCATGTTGGCCAGGCTGGTCTTGAACTCCTGACCTCAAGTGATCCTCCCACCTCGGCCTCCCGAAGTGCTGGGATTACAGGTGTGAGCCACTGTGCCTGGCCCTATAAACATTCTTGTACACGTTTTTGTTTGAACACCTCTTTTTAATTCTGTTGGGTATATACCTAGGATTGGGAACTGATGAGTTGTATGGAATTCCATGTTCACATTTTGAGGACCTGTCAGACTGTTTTTCACAGCATTTGTACCATTTTATATTCTCACTAGCAACGTACAGGCATTCCAGTTTCTCTTTGTCCTTGTCAACATCTGCTACCTTCTATTTGTTGGTGCATGTGTGTGTTAAATTATAACCACCTTAGTGGGTGTGAAGTATCAATAGCATATCATTGTGCTGTGGATTTACATTTCCCTAATGACCAATAACATTGGGCTTATTTTCCTGCATGTATTGGCCATTTGCATATCTTCCTTGGAGAAATGTCTATTACAGGACTTTGCCTATTTTTAAATTGGGTTGACTTTTTGTTGTTGATTTGTAAGAGTTCTTTATATATTCTGGATGTTAGCTCCTTATCAGAATTATGATTTACAAGCATGTTCTCCCCTTGTATGAGTTGTTTTGCTCTCTTCGTAGTGTCCTTTGATGCACAAAACTTTTTAATTTTGATGACATCCAATTTATCTATTTTTCCTTTTGTTGCTTGTGCTTCTGGTGTCGTATCTAAAAAACTGTTGCCCAATATAAGGTCATGCATATTTACTCTTATGTTTCCTTCTAGGAGTTTTATGGTTTTATCTCATATATGTAGGGCTTTGATCCATTTTTAGTTAATTTGTTGGTGTGAGATATAGTGCAACTTTATGATTTCGTGTGTAGATATCCAGTTGTCCCAGCACCATTAAAACAATTAGAGACAGGGTGTTGCTCTTTTGCCCAGGCTGGAGTGCAGTGGCACAGTCATAACTCACTGCAGCCTCAAACTCCTGGACTCAACTGATCCTCCCACCTCAGTTTCCCAGGTAGCTGGGACTACAGGTGCACACCACCATACTTCGCTAATTAAAAAAAATTTTTTTTTAGGGACCAGCGTCTTGCTATGTTACCCAGGCTGGTCTTGAACTCTTGGCCTCAAACAATCCTCTCATCTCAACCTCCCGAGTAGTTGGGATTACAGGCATAAGCCATCATTTTATAACATTTATGTACCTAACATCAGTTATAAACATTTATGTACCTAACAATTATAAACATTTATGTACCTAACATCAGACCCCCAAAATATACCAAGCATAAATGGACAGAATTGAAGACAGAAATAGGCAATTGCAGCTCAACAATAATATTTGAAGATTTCAATAAGTCACTTCCAATGATTAAAAAAAATTTTTAAAAATAGAACTAGATCAAAGATCAATAACAAAATAGAGAACTTGAAGAACACTATAAACAAGCTAGATCTAATATGGCCATGTATAAAACACTCAACCCAACAACAGCAGAATACACATTCTTCCCGAATACACATTCTTCTCGAATACACATTCTTCTCAGTCCTCCAGATTAGACCATACGTTAGTCCAAAAAACAAGTCTCAATAAATTTAAAACTATTGAAATCATATAATGTATCTTCTCTGACCACAATGGAAATTAGAAATCAATAACAAAAGGAAAACTGGAAAATTCACAAATATGTGGCAATTAAATAACACACACTTAAACAGTTGATCAAAGAAGAAATCAAAAGAGAAGTTAGAAAATACTATGGGATAAATGACAGTGATTATATAACAAACCAAAACTTATGGGATACGGCAAAACAGTTTATGGAGGGAAATTTATAGCTATAAATGCTTATGTTAAAAAACAAGAAAGATCTCAATTCAGTAATCTAACTTCACACCTTAAGGAACCAGGAAAAGGAAGAGCAAACTAAACCCAAACCTAGAAGAAGGAAGAAAATAAAGATTATATGTAGAATAAAGGGAGCAAATAAAGAAATTGAGAATAGAAAAACAATAGAACCAATGAAGCCTAAAATTAGTTTTTTGAAAGCAACAATAAAATTTACAAACCTTTAACTAGACTAAGAAAAAAGAGAAGGCTCTAATTATTAAAATCAGAAATGAAAACGGGAACATCACTACTGACCTATATAAATAAAGAAGACTATAAGAGAATATGTGAACAATTGTACACTAACACATAATATCAATAAAATTTATTCCATTTAAGCATGCTTAGTGATATTACATACATTCGTAATGTAGATAACCTAGATGTAATGGATAAATTCCTATTAACATACAAATTACCAAAACTGATACCTTTATTAGTGTTTTTTATTTCTTTTCTTCTTTTTCTTTTTGAGATGGAGTCTCACACTGTTGCCCGGGCT